TAGCATAATTGCCATACATAACTATATATAATTCTAAGCCAGTAGTAGGCACTTGGATTTAGTTAGTGATGAGTAAAAACCAAGTGTGCAACTAAATTAGTTGCTTAAATAAATGTATTCCTAATTATTCAGTTTACTAAAAGCAATACTTATTTGAATAAACTCTAAGCAGACACTTTATTGCTAAGTTTACGAGAAAGCATGGTTATATCTCCTTCTTTTTTATACCTCCATGTTTAAACCATAGAGAAATCTGTTCTATTTTCTCTATGTTTAAACCCAGTGACCATGGAAAAGAAGCAATGGACCACTAATGTTATTAGTAGTATTATTTAAAATGAATGCTGTAAATTTTGTGAATTTATAAAACAATAAATAAGGTCACTGTAACATCAATCTGTATCATGGAGTGTATTTAACTGGCATTAAATCACCTAAACTACTGTATAAATCAAGCTTGTATTTAATTAATTTTGTTTTTCTGAAATTCATGTAGTGTATGTACTGTACTAATTTTAAAAGAAGCCCATGGGCTTCTTTTTGAGGCTAACTTTGCAAACTAAAGAAGCTTCATCTCGAGATTAAGTCCAATGGGCTTCAATTCCAGGTTTTACGGTATATAGTCCACATAAAATGGATTCGTCAGATGACGGTTGTACGGCCACTGTATGACACAGTGAGTGCCCGGGTTTAAGAAACACAGTACCCTTCAGGCCCGTATCCAAGTTTAACTTTCACAGATGTATGATCTATACCACCTCAGCCCCACCCTATGGTTCTGAGGAAAGAAGGTTTATGATTATGACACCTCTGGATCACCGGAAAAATTCAATCTCAGACTTTGAACACAATTTTTTCTATATCAATATTTTTTAAACATTTGAACAATTTAGTGGGGCCCGGGCCGGCTGGGCCCCGCTTTGAATCTGTCACTGATAAATAAGGAAGCAATTCTAAAGCTTGGGTGCAGCATATACAAACCTTCTTTCCCCGAGAGTCTCAGCGTTTTCCGCTAGGATAATCTAATGTATTATCGTTACACGGCCTTAAAACTGTATCAAGATGGTTTAAACCTGAAAGCGATCATAAGGTACCATGGTCCAGTGTTTCCAAGTTCAAACGTTTATTTTAAACTCAATACGGTACTTTACTGGCAACTAGTGTTAGCTGAAGAGAACTGAGGTGATGTGAGCCCTTCTATATACGATTGTTTTAATATTCTTCATTAATCAATTAATCCAAAAAGAAAATCAATTCACAGGATATTTGGTAATCACAGTTGGTCAGTCGGTCTGCAATTTGTTTGCAAATTCATCACACAAAATTTACGATTGCTTTTTCTAGTTGTGATGCATTAAGAATTATTACCCTTTATTAATAATTCATAATATGAATTTAATGAATTTATTAGATTTACTTCCATGTTGTTAGTGATGGCTTCATGAAATTGATTTAATTTTATTTATAGTGTAATCAGAAAAAAAACGCTTACATTGCCACATGATCAGGAAACCAGAAATTCTAATGAATCTACATGTCAGTGACGGTCCCAAAAATTCAAAATAAAAAAATAAAAATAAAGGGGGCCCAGTGGAGGGTCTAGGTCACCTAAGCTCCACTAGTTGGGGCTCAGGTACTAAATTTTATGGCTAGGTCACCTCTAGATGGCCAAAAATTGCACTCTTTTTTCCTCCATTTTTTCCACCAATTTTCAAAATATTCGGTCAATCTGCCTTGGATGTATGAAACTTCAACATAACTGTCACACTCAATATGAAAATTATAATCCTCATCACAATCAATATTTTATTAATTTGTCAAGTAGATTTGCATAGTCAATTGTAGATTATAGGTCTTTACAAAGCCAAGTAATTTTGCCAATAGCCTAACCAATTTTGATTTAATATTAATATAGATTTGATAAAAATGTGCATGTAAAATATTGAGTCGTGACCGTGGGCGGATAGTTGTGTTTAGAGCAAAATTAAATTTATCAAACACTCCTGTATAAATCATCTGCTACTTTGTCATTGTTTTGTACCTATAGTAACCACCTATACCCATTAGTTGATTAATTGTATTTATTGCTTATCAATCCTGACTGCCTATGAAAATGTTGGTGATCGTTAGAGGGTAGTATTAAACTTTTACATAAAATGAACGAGCACACTGACACATTTGTGATCAATGTTAATAAAGCAGATTCTGTCACAAAATGATTATGTTCTGTTCTATTTTAGTCTATGAATACTTGATAAATTAATGAATAATTATTTAATAAATTAATCTTACAAAACATATGTATATCAAATTAACATTTTAATTTATGTATGGCGCTTTGATCTATTTTTGGAAAGGCACCTTATAAATAACATTTATTATTAAATTATAAATACTTTAATCTTAATATCAATATTCAGTTGTCAAGACATCAATAAAATGCAACCATGAATCGCTCTATGTTACCAAATTGAATGTTCACGTTTAAATCTGTTTGCAAGAAGACAAACAAGTATGTCACTTCAAGGTTCTATGTAACTTGTGCCGCAAGAAGGTTTAAGGATTTATCTTATCTCTGAAAGGAGAGGTAAATGAACAGCATTAAAGATATTTTTACTTAACTCCTAAGCGCTGAAAAATATTTTTTTTTTAAATAATCTTCTACTTGTTCACTTGGTGCTGATAGCTCGTTGGATAATTGGTAGTATTGGCATTATTGCAAACGCCATCGTCATAATTGTATTCGGCTACAACAAGACTTACAAGAAGTCTCTTTCGTTCAGTTACTTTTCCATCAGACTGATTGATTTGATTTGCTCTCTGATGTTTTTGATCTTCTTTAACATTGAGGTTCCTGATGGCACTGCTGGAACAATATTTTGTAAAATGCAATTTTTCTTCTACTACATGGTAGTAACATTAACTTTCAATTTTGTTATGCTTACCGTTGAGCGATACGTTGCTATCGTACATCCACTGTTTTATCGCCAAAAACCCTTGAGTAGGAAAATCCCATATCTCTCGCTTATAAGCCCGCATGTATGCGGTGTACTTATATCAATGTGTGTTCCTATATATGCGGACGTACAACCAAATAAAAAAGGTGTATGGTACAGGAAATGAGTATTGTAGGTGGTATATTATTAATTACTGTTCAATTCCTGGTACCCATTTGCACTATGCTGTACTGCTATGTTCAGATGCTGATAAAGTTACACAAGACACGTATAATTAGCCATGAACATTTAACTGCATCTCAACCCAAAAATGGCGGCCGAGATGAAAAAAATCAAGTCACATCTATTGACTACACTCATCTTTAATTGCATCTGTTTATATTGTTACCACATTTCCATGCTATGCTTTTGCATTTATTTACTTCATAAATAGTGATTTTAATCTACTATTTCAGGAAATCAGTATACTGTTACTTGATTTAAATCTTACTATTAAACCATTTATCTACTGTGTAGTATGCAAGGAATATTAAAGAGGACTTCGAAAGATTACAGAAGACATATTCTATTGTTAGAATCTCAGAATCTTGGGCCGGGATTTATCAAACTAATAGGCATAATGAGCTTAAATTAAGTTGGTTTTTTTTGCTTATGTCAGACTTATCAATATTGATTAGCTTACAAATTCTTTAAAATTAAAAAAAAAATCGATTTTAAAGCTAAGATTTTGCTAAAATGCTTAAAATGACTTTTTTTACTTAAAACATTTGCTAAGTTGAGATTGATTAAACCTGGGCCAGGTCTAAGACAGATATACTGTAGGCCCTACTGCCAAAGATGAGCTAGAAAAACCTCAATAGAATTAAGTCCTTCTACGTTAATTTATTAGCTTTCCATTGAAAATTTGATGTACCAGTTAACGGGCGTACATAAATTGATCAGGAACCCAGAAATACTAATGAATCTACATGTCAGTGACGGTGCCAGGAATTCAAAATTAAGGGGGCCCGTGGGGACTTTTACAGACAAAGGGTCTAGATTACCTAAGCTCCACTGGTTGGGGCTGAGGTACTAAATTTTATGGCTAGATAAGCTCTAGATGGCCAGAAATTGCACTCTGTTTTTCCTCCATTTTCTTTTTCCAATGTTCAAAAATTTAGGTCAATCCGTCTTGGATGTATGAAACTTTAACGAGACCTTTTTTCAACAATTTAATTTTGAATTTTAATTAATATTTTCATTGTTGATCATAAGAAATTTATATAATTTATGTGTATATTGTGTGTAAAGCACCGATAGTTGTATAATGATAAAATACTAGTGTTTTATTGCGACGGTGGTATCACTTAAGAAGAATGTTGTAAGGAGCTAAATTGTATAAAAAATGAAAATCACCAGGAAGTGATGGGCTTACGTTAGAATTCTACCATTTTTCTGGAATGACATTAGCAACTGATTATGCGAAATTATACCCATGCCAAATATAACAGGATGTCGCATTCACAGAGATTAGGAGTTATTAATTTAATTTTTTTTTAAAAGGTGATAAATATGATTTGAATAATTACAGACCTATAACACTGTTAAGTCTAGATTATAAGATCGCTGCATTCTGTCTAGCTAATAGAGTTCAAGAAGTACGGACCAAAAATGATATATTAAATGGCGCTCCGGGGAAGAAAATATTAGATTAATCGAACACCTAATGGAATATACTGTACATGTTTTACCAAACCGAAGGCGCCCTGATTTCCTTGGATTTCCAAAAAGCATTTTTTCATAGTTTAAATTTATATAAATAGGAAGAAATATACATATCCTACCCTTAAAAATATCAAGGCAGCGGAGGGGTAATAAAAATAAAGAAAAAAATAGGCTATATTCTTTCTGAAATTTCCATTTTTGTTTTTGCGGTGGGTACACTAAATGGCAAATAACATTTTATTTTTATCGAAATCATCGTTATTTTCCGGCGGCGGGTTCGCTATAGAAAAAGTCTCACGTAAATTTTCAGAAACAAAAATGAAACAATCTCCACAGGAAAATGCTCTTTAGAAGATTTTTACTTCTGTATAACTTTTGAAGATTGGATATTTATCTAATGTCTCTTTTTGTATAACTACTGACCTTGGCCCATCTGCGTATTATCAAACATATTTACCTTTTGGTTAAACAAAGGAACAAATTAGCGCATTTGCATTTTCAATTTTTATTTTTATTTGAAATTTTTCGCTATTTCACATAACAATTAATTCGATGATCAAAACTTCTCAGAATTGTGCAGTAGACTAAAAGTAGTTTTACATGTAATTAAAATTTCTTAAAATTGCGATGAGATATTTAGAAATCTTTCGTAGCGCAGTAGATGTACTTAGCAGCATCGTGGAGGGATTCGGTGTTGTAGTAGTGCAGCAGACGCTCCTTCCAGACCTGCCAAGTGTCAGCATCAGTGAGCTTAGGGATTGGTCGGTTCAGAAGGGTTATGGGAGTACCAGACTTGTAGTGCTCAGCAACCCATTTCACGGATGCACGGATACCGTTATCAGCTGTGTCCAACAGGCAATTGCAAACATGCTGTGGAAGCAAACGATAAAAAAGTACAATAATCACCAACCATTTCACATGGCGCGTGATGCTGTATATTTACATGTTCTACTTATAATAATAATAATAATAATAATAATAATAATAATAATAATAATAATAATAATAATAATAATAATAATAAT